TAATATATAAAATTTGTATGTGAATGAATCTTTCTTTATAAAAATATATTATATATTAAATATTTATTTTAATTAATATTTTATATATTTTTAAAATAATAAAGAATTAAAAAGTAAAGTATCAAAAAAATATTTTCAATTGAAAACTTATGCCTGGGTAGATTACTTGTCAGTACCCGTTCGGAAATTTTGCGATATAAGCACTTATTAGTTCCAAAAATAATTACATAGAGCATTGCAATGGAATCCATGGATTTAACATCAAATTAATATATAAATTTCAACAGTAATGTTATAGTTACAATTTCATATAAAATTTTAAATTTATAATTTTATGTGATATTTATTAAAATATGATGTGATATTAAATGAATAAATTCATCCAGCATTACAATTGAATTGTTAAATGAAGAGAATGATTATATAATGACACGTCATGTTATAAATTTATAATATCATGTGTTATTATAATTATAGCATTTTTGTAATTTAAATTATTGAAAGATCTTATAATTGTTGTCTTGTCTAGCTTAATAATGCCGTAGTTTATCTTACTATTGCATACGGATGGGCAAGCGTCTCCCAAATTCTGTAGTCTATATATCCATATCCAAAAACAAGACCTCTTATTCTAACTTGGTTTAGAAGGAGAGGAGATTGGCCAGTATAACAGGCACTACTAATTAGGTAGTTGGCTATAAAAAGATGGCTGTCCCGTTTGTATTCCTCCGTTGTCGGGGACTAAAACAAATATCATCCAATTTATCATTTTCCCGATCATACCAAAGTCTCCCTACTACAGTTGCTTCACTCTTGTCTGGCAACTCAATGGTGTGGAAGTCCTCAGTGGTGAGATCAGAAGCAAGGATGAAAGGTGGGGTTCCCCATATGTAATCCCCGTATGCCACCCAATGCATCCCACTGCCAACAAGCACCGCTTGTGAAGTGTTGTCATATGTATCGCAGTGGACGCGATAAAATAATGTTCGGGCTTGTCCAGGTATTGTTTCTCAAACTATAAACTTTTACCTCATAGTGGCTATGAATACCTAGTGCAAAGTAACAGTGCATGATGTACACAAGTTTGTAATCATTATTTACAGAGTCAAAGCCGAATCCAAATAGAACAAATCTATAAACTGTTCTGGCATAAAATTGTGAGTCTCTAAATTTTGGTTCTCGGGTAATTACCTGGAAATCTCAAATAAATTTCCTCCAGAGAATCATATTGTCAAATGATTGAAAGCGAAACAAGCCCTTACATGAACCTCTTAGAATGAGGGTGGAACTGTCCACAATTCTTCTACCTGGGAGAGGGTGCTCCTTCACTTTTAAGCTGCTACAGCTGGGCCAATCCAAATTCAAATCCACAGAGTAGACTCTCAATTGGCTGACAATTATGAGTTCTACCCTCTTGATTTCTGCAATCAAGGAAAGCTCCATGATTTGGAGACGGTCTTAAACCGACAAATACTCTTGGGATCAGATAGTCCACCAATAATGTTCCTATGCAAATCAATCGGTAACTCTTTGGTTTAGAAGCTCATTTCTAGAATTTTTCGCATTTTGTAGAATTCACAACTTAAATTTTAATCATAAGAACATATAGAATCTTGCAACTGCTTTCAATTGCCATGGTTCTATGCGTTTTTACTTCTTTGTGTTGTGATTCAAACTCGTCCCATTTTGTAGAATTCATAACTTAAATTCACATAGAAGCGTCTAATTGTGGCAGTTATTAATTTGGTTGTAGGGTTAAAGGTTGCAGTAGGGTAGTCATCGATCGGCTCAGTGCTTTTGCACGTCCTATGATAGTTTCTGATCTTGATCATACAATGGTAGGTTTCATAAATTCTTGCTTCAATCCGGAGTGATGTCGTGCTCGTATGGCTATTAGTTAGTGAACCAGTACTAGGACTAAGTTATATTTTAGATCTACTTTGACTGGAACCTATTGACATTTTGCATCAACTTTTATTGATTTTCTTTATCTAATGAATCTACTAAGAAATGTTGTTTCCACTTTTCATTTTTTGTTGGAGTACTTTATGATCTTTGTTTAGAAAGAACCACCATTTTAATTCTTCTTTCTTCAGGGTCCATCTGCTGTAACTGTCCATCCATCTGGTGTTTAGAAAACTCTACACAAATGCATACATGAATTGAAAGGGTGGTATGGAGACAAGCAGGGAAAAATGTTTTGGGTTTGGGTGGATCGTGTATTATCTACACAGAATGGTTCAAGCACATGGCTGGTGAATTTCAATAAGTGGGAGCCGTGTGGTGAGATTTCTTTATATGTTCTTCTATATCTGCTCAGTCTTTGCATCTTTGCAATTTAAACTAAATGTCATATCCTTGCTAATTTATTTACCTTTCTTGCATTCATGGCAATAAATGTCCCTCCAACTTGGAAGTTCGCGTTCTGGACACTAAAGATACAAAAAAAAGGGCTAGGTCGTAAGTTAATTAACCGTACCATTTATTTGTGCCAGGCCAATTGTGGCTGTCGTTGATGATGGTATCTTCGTCTTGCATCCCTCTGGCCAAGGCAAGTGTCCATGGTGTGGCTTCTTTTGTCAATGACACACAAATCAAGGAAAAGGGTAAGAAAATCTCTAAACCCCTAATTGTGTTTGCTTTAAATGCTTCGTCAAGATAACTACCAACCAACAAAGATAAATCAGAGTCCATAATCAACAAATATATCTTCTAAAAGCTACAAAAAAAATTAAAAAAGAAGGCGAAGAACCTAACAACAACAGACTATTGATTAAATTGCAAGAGATCAAATCATGCTTTCCCTCTAAATGAGTAGAGGTTCCTTCAAAACATCTACCTTGACCAAATAAAGGATTGTTTGGTTGTTTTCAAGTAGGTAAAAGAAAAACAGTTTGCTGTCAATTTTGGAACCAAGTTGTTCATGGACAGAGAAAGGGAACCATCAGAATTTTTGTCATCACAGAAAGAAAGATGAATTTTTCCATTGAAAACTGTAAATAAAGGACCAAAAACCCCAGATTTTTCCTCAAGAAGTTCAAATTCACAAACACATATGGAATAACCTCTATTCATATTATATCTATAATTTTAAGGAAACAAACTTTAATTCATTTCTACCATGGCCCCAATAAAAAGAAGGATAATCCGCTGAAATAAAATGCAAAAAAAAAAAAAAAAAAGTCTTTATAAGTGACAGATATATACCTTTATGATTTTTTTAATTTAAATATTTATAGTAAAGATTATAAAGTGTTTAATATTAATGAGTTTTAATATTTTAAAATTTTAAATTTTAATTAAATTTAGATATTTATAATTTTATTTATATATAATAAAATTAAAAAAATAATTAAAAAATAAAAATAAAGTAAACTAACGAGTTAACCCACAGCTTTTTAGGATTGGATTAGCATTGACTCTTTTTCAACTCACGACGTATTTAGACCCAATCAATATAGCCCATTGACCCAATCACGAACCCACCCAATCTATAAATTCATAATTATAAATTTGAAATTTTACATAATATTACATAAATAATATAGCATTGCGGCACGACCTACTCCGATCTAGTGGTATTGGATCATAAGTTAAAGCTATTCACTTCCGATGGGTTGCACATTTGATCCTCACGAAATTTCTTTCCCCCTCTCTCAATTAACCTGGTAAACAATTACAAATTATTCAAAAAAAAATATATAGCATTGCGGGTCAGCGAAGCTGGGAAGGTACGGATATGTGGCAGATCCC